CTTTCTTTCTTTCTTTCTTAATATTTCTCTATTTTTTAATCGTTCTGCTTTTTCTCTCAACCACATCTTTTCTTTCTTTCTTTCTTCTCTATGTTTTACTTGTCCTGCTGTTTTCTCTCAATAACATCTCTTTCTTTCTTTCTTTCTTTCTTTCTTTCTTTCTTTCTTTCTATCTATCTTAATACTTCTCCATTTTTTACTTGCCCTGCTTTTCTTTCTCAGCAACATCTCTTCTTTCTTTCTTTCTTTCTTTCTTTCTTTCTTTCTTAATATTTCTCTATTTTTTAATCGTTCTGCTTTTCTCTCTCAACCACATCTTTTCTTTCTTTCTTTCTTCTCTATGTTTTACTTGTCCTGCTGTTTTCTCTCAATAACATCTCTTTCTTTCTTTCTTTCTTTCTTTCTATCTATCTTAATACTTCTCCATTTTTTACTTGCCTTGCTTTTCTTTCTCAGCAACATCTCTTCTTTCTTTCTTTCTTTCTTTCTTTCTTTCTTAATATTTCTCTATTTTTTAATCGTTCTGCTTTTCTCTCTCAACCACATCTTTTCTTTCTTTCTTTCTTCTCTATGTTTTACTTGTCCTGCTGTTTTCTCTCAATAACATCTCTTTCTTTCTTTCTTTCTTTCTTTCTATCTATCTTAATACTTCTCCATTTTTTTACTTGCCTTGCTTTCCTTTCTCAACAACATCTCTTCTTTCTTTCTTTTTTTCTTTCTTTCTTTCTTAATATTTCTCTATTTTTTAATCGTTCTGCTTTTTCTCTCTCAACCACATCTTTTCTTTCTTTCTTTTTCTTCTCTATGTTTTTACTTGTCCTGCTGTTCTCTCTCAATAACATCTCTTTCTTTTCTTTCTTTCTTTCTTTCTTTCTATCTATCTTAATACTTCTCCATTTTTTTTACTTGCCTTGCTTTTTCTTTCTCAGCAACATCTCTTCTTTCTTTCTTTCTTTCTTTCTTTCTTTCTTTCTTTTCTTTCTTAATATTTCTCTATTTTTTAATCGTTCTGCTTTTTCTCTCTCAACCACATCTTTTCTTTCTTTCTTTCTTCTCTATGTTTTTTACTTGTCCTGCTGTTTTCTCTCAATAACATCTCTTTCTTTCTTTCTTTCTTTCTTTCTTTCTATCTTAATACTTCTCCATTTTTTTTGCCTTGCTTTTCTTTCTCAGCAAATCTTCTTTCTTTCTTTCTTTCTTTTCTTTCTTTTCTTTCTTAATATTTCTCTATTTTTAATCGTTCTGCTTTTCTCTCTCAACCACATCTTTTCTTTCTTTCTTTCTTCTCTATGTTTTACTTGTCCTGCTGTTTTCTCTCAATAACATCTCTTTTCTTTTTTCTTTCTTTCTTTCTTTCTATCTATCTTAATACTTCTCCATTTTTTACTTGCCTTGCTTTTCTTTCTCAGCAACATCTCTTCTTTCTTTTCTTTCTTTTCTTTCTTTCTTTCTTTCTTTATTTCTCTATTTTTTTTTAATCGTTCTGCTTTTCTCTCTCAACCATCTTTTCTTTTTTCTTTCTTCTCTATGCTTTCCTTCTCTCAATAACATCTCTTTTTTCTTTCTTTCTTTCTTTCTATCTATCTTTTACTTCTCCATTTTTTACTTGCCTTGCTTTTTCTTTCTCAGCAACATCTCTTCTTTCTTTCTTTCTTTCTTTCTTTCTTTTCTTTCTTTCTTTCTTAATATTTCTCTATTTTTTAATCGTTCTGCTTTTCTCTCTCTCCATCTTTTCTTTTTTCTTTCTTCTCTATGTTTTACTTGTCCTGCTGTTTTCTCTCAACATCTCTTCTTTCTTTCTTTCTTTCTTTCTATCTATCTTAATACTTTCCATTTTTACTTGCCTTTCTTTTTTTCTCCAACATCTTTCTTTCTTTCTTTTCTTTTTTTTTCTTTTTTTTCTTAATATTTTCTATTTTTTAATCGTTCTGCTTTTCTCTCTCAACCACATCTTTTCTTTTCTTTCTTTCTTCTCTATGTTTACTTTCCTGTTGTTTTTCTCAATAACATCTCTTTCTTTCTTTCTTTCTTTCTTTCTATCTATCTTAATTTCTTTTTTTCTTGTTTATTTTCTTTCTTCCATCTCTTCTTTCTTTCTTTCTTTTCTTTCTTTCTTTCTTTCTTAATATTTTATTTTCTTTCGTTTGCTTTTCTCTCTCGTCATCTTTTTTTCTTTCTTCTCTATGTTTCCTGTCACATTTTATTTTGTTTCTTTCTTTGTTTGATCTTCTTTACTTTTCATTTTTTTCTTTTCTTTCTCAGCAACATCTTTCTTTCTTTCTTTCTTTCTTTCATTTATTCTTTCTTTCTTTTACCCAGTTTTTTCGTTTTTTCTGTTTTTTTATATTTCCGGGGAAATTCTCCCTTTCGTTCTTTATTTGTTCATTTTTTTCCTCACAATGTGTTTTACAAAATCTTCTTTTATTTCTTTCTTTTTTCTTTGAGAGAGAGAGAGAAAGAGAGAGTCAAAGAGAAAGTGAGAGAGAGAGAGAGAGAGAATTTTTCTTTCTTAAAATAGTTTTTTTCTTAAAGAGTTTAGATCACATTTGAGATGAGAAAGAAAAGACGAAAAAACTTTCTTTCTTTCTTTCTTTCTTTCTTTCTTCTTCGTTGACTTTGTATGACAAAACTGAAAGAAAGAAAGAAAAAAAGACGGGGAAGATTAAATCTAAATAAAGAAGAAAAAATGGATGAACGAAAATCAACTTGTTAAAGACAAAGAAAGAAGAAATGTGACATAAAAGAGAAAAAAGAGAATAATGAAGAGAAAAGAATGATGTAAAATAGTTGAAGAAGGAAGGAAATGAATTGAGAAAAAGAATGAAAAAAACATGAAGATAAAAAGAACAATGAATGAATGAAAAAAAAAAAAAAGACATAGAGAAGGAAAAAAAACGAAAATAATAAAAAAAGAGAAGAAAGGAGAACATAAAAGAAAAAAAGAAAATGAAAAAAAAGAAAGAAAGGTATGAATTAAAAAAGAATGAATGAAAACATGAAGATAAAAAAGAACAATGAATGAATGAATAAATAAAAGACATAGAGAAGGAAAAAAGGAAAATAAAGGAAAAAGAGAACGAGGAGAAAGAAAGAAAGAAAGAAAGAAAGAAAGAAAGAAAGAAAGGTATGAATTAAAAAGAATGAATGAAAACATGAAGATAAAAAGAACAATGAATGAATGAATAAATAAAAGACATAGAGAAGGAAAAAAGGAAAATAAAGGAAAAAGAGAACGAGGAGAAAAAGAAAGAAAGAAAGAAAGAAAGAAAGAAAGGTATGAATTAAAAAGAATGAATGAAAACATGAAGATAAAAAAAGAACAATGAATGAATGAATAAATAAAAAGACATAGAGAAGAAAAAAGGAAAATAAAGGAAAAAGAGAACGAGGAGAAAGAAAAAGAAAGAAAAAAAGAAAGAAAGAAAAAAGAATTAAAAAGAATGAATGAAAAACATGAAGATAAAAAAGAACAATGAATGAATGAATAAAAAAAAGACATAGAATGAAAAATGAATAAAATAAAAAAAAGAGAACGAGGAGAAAGAAAAAATAAAAGAAAAAAGAGAAAGAAAGAAAAAAGAAAAGAAAGAAAGAAAAAGGTATGAATAAAAAAAGAATGAATGAAAACATGAAGATAAAAAAGAACAATGAATGAATGAATAAATAAAAAGACATAGAGAAGGAAAAAAAGGAAAATAAAGGAAAAAAAAGAGAACGAGGAGAAAGAAAGAAAGAAAGAAAGAAAGAAAGGTATGAATTAAAAAGAATGAATGAAAACATGAAGATAAAAAGAACAATGAATGAATGAATAAATAAAAGACATAGAGAAGGAAAAAAGGAAAATAAAGGAAAAGAGAAGAAGGAGAAAGAAAGAAAGAAAGAAAGAAAGAAAGAAAGAAAAGAAAGAAAGAAAGAAAGGTATGAATTAAAAAAGAATGAATGAAAACATGAAGATAAAAAAGAACAATGAATGAATGAATAAATAAAAGACATAGAGAAGGAAAAAAGGAAAATAAAGGAAAAAAGAGAACGAGGAGAAAGAAAGAAAGAAAGAAAGAAAGAAAGAAAAGAAAAAAAAAGGTATGAATTAAAAAGAATGAATGAAAACATGAAGATAAAAAGAACAATGAATGAATGAATAAATAAAAGACATAGAGAAGGAAAAAAGGAAAATAAAGGAAAAAGAGAACGAGGAGAAAGAAAGAAAGAAAGAAAGAAAGAAAGGTATGAATTAAGAAGAATGAATGAAAACATGAAGATAAAAAGAACAATGAATGAATGAATAAATAAAAGACATAGAGAAGGAAAAAAGGAAAATAAAGGAAAAAGAGAACGAGGAGAAAGAAAGAAAGAAAGAAAGAAAGAAAGAAAGAAAGGTATGAATTAAGAAGAATGAATGAAAACATGAAGATAAAAAGAAAAATGAATGAATGAATAAATAAAAGACATAGAGAAGGAAAAAAGGAAAATAAAGGAAAAAGAGAACGAGGAGAAAGAAAGAAAGAAAGAAAGAAAGAAAGAAAGAAAGAAAGGTATGAATTAAAAAGAATGAATGAAAACATGAAGATAAAAAGAACAATGAATGAATGAATAAATAAAAGACATAGAGAAGGAAAAAAGGAAAATAAAGGAAAAAGAGAACGAGGAGAAAGAAAGAAAGAAAGAAAGAAAGAAAGGTATGAATTAAAAAGAATGAATGAAAACATGAAGATAAAAAGAACAATGAATGAATGAATAAATAAAAGACATAGAGAAGGAAAAAAGGAAAATAAAAAGAAAAAAAGAGAACGAGGAGAAAAAGAAAGAAAGAAAGAAAGAAAGGTATGAATTAAAAAGAATGAATGAAAACATGAAGATAAAAAGAACAATGAATGAATGAATAAATAAAAGACATAGAGAAGGAAAAAAGGAAAATAAAGGAAAAAGAGAACGAGGAGAAAGAAAGAAAGAAAGAAAGAAAGAAAGAAAGAAAGAAAGAAAGAAAGAAAGAAAGGTATGAA